CACTGGCTGAGCGAGGTGTGGGCGCAGCACCGACGGTTGCGATCCCATTGCCGGTCTCGGTCCGGTACGGGCGCGACACTGAAGGTTGCGATCCGTTGCCGGACACGAAAAAAGACAAAAAGGAAAAAAAAATAATAAAAATAAATAAATAAATAAATAAATAAAACACATATTGTGGGGCTGGCCCGGTGGCTCACTGCTACAGTGCGCCACTTGGGAGTGCAGTGGCGCTCCCGCCGAGGGGTTGGATCCCACATACAGACCGGTTCCCGCTCACTGGCTGAGCGAGGTGTGGGCGCAGCACCGACGGTTGCGATCCCATTGCCGGTCTCGGTCCGGTACGGGCGCGACACTGAAGGTTGAGATCCGTTGCCGGACACGAAAAAAGACAAAAAGGAAAAAAAAATAATAAAAATNCGCGACACTGAAGGTTGCGATCCGTTGCCGGACACGAAAAAAGACAAAAAGGAAAAAAAAATAATAAAAATAAATAAATAAATAAATAAATAAAACACATATTGGTTGCTTCCAGTTTGGAGTAATTATGAATAAAGATGCTATTAAACATTCATGCGCTGGTTTTGTGTGGACATAAGTTTTTAAATCAGTTGAGTAAATATTTGGGATGGCGACTGCTAGAGTATATGGTAAAATTTTGTTTAGCTTTGTAATAAAACTGGCAAACTATCTTCCAAAGTGGCTATCTTCCCAAAATGGTAATTTTCCATTTCCAATAGCAATGAATGAGAGTTCTGAATGTTTCTCTACCTCTTCACCAGCAATTGGTGTTGCCACTTTGGGGATTTCAGAAAATCTAATAGGTGCGTATAGAGCTCCTGTACAAATTTTTATGTTTATACCTAAGTATTCCATTTGTAGAGTGCTTTTGTATATGGTAGTTTTCTAAATTTCAAATTCAATTGTTCATTGCTGGTAGATAAGAAAGCAATTGAATTTTGTTTATTAACCTTGTATCATTCAACCTTGGTAAACTCACTTAGCAGTTTCAGTAGTTTGTTGATTTGGTGGGATTTTCTACATAGAGAATCATGTCATCTGAAAACAAAGACCGTTTTATATGCTTCTTCCTGCATTAATTTCTTACGGCTGTTGTAACAAATCATCACAAACTTAGTGGCTCAAAACAACAGAAATGTATTATCTCACATTTCTGGAGGCCGGAAGTCTGAAATCAAGGTGTCAGCAGAGCCACATTCCCTGTGGAGACTCTAGAATTTCTGCCTCCATCTTCACACAGCCTTCTCTACTGTGTCTAATCTCCCTGTCTCTCCTGTAAGGACACTTGTGATGGCATTTAGGGTCTCATCTGGATAATCTAGAATAATCACCTCATCAAAAGATTCTTAATTTAAGCAATGACCTCTTTTCCCAAATAAGGTAACATTCACAGGTTCCAGGGATTAGGAAGTGGACATGTCTCTGGCAGCTGTTATCAGCCTACAATACTTCACAATCTGCATACATTTTATTTCCATTTCTTGTCTTATTACACTAGATAGGAGCTCCAGTACAATGTTTAATGAAAGTGGTAACTGAGAGAGAGAATATCGTTACCTTGTTCTTAGAGGGATCTTAGGGGAAAACATCCAGTTTCTCATTCCTAAGTATGTCATAAGGTTTGCTTGCAAATGTTCTTTATTGAGGACACTCCACTCTATTCCTCTGCAAGAATTTATGGAACAGGTGGAATTTGTTACAGACCTTGAAGGACAGATAAAATTTGGAGATGAGAGAACACATGGAAAGACATCACCATTAGAAGAAACACCAAAAGCATAGAAAGTATAAGGCACATGCAAACAATAATAAATGGATACACCTAAGGAATCTGTGTGTGTGTGTGGCAGGGGTGTGTGTGATGTATGAATGTACGTTTTAGAACGTGTTACTGCAAATACCCTTTATGAAAACATTATAGAGGGCTTCAAACCTGCAAACTTTGTTTGTGCTCTGTCCTTTAGGCAACATGAGGACTGATCCCATGAAAAGTGTTTTAAGATGCTAAATTTAGCATCTTAATTTTAGCATCTGTTTTGGATGTGTTGAGGAAGGTCAATTGAGAGTCAGAGACCACACAAGATATTAAAAATAGTTCAGGCACGTAGGCACTGCCTACTTTTTAAAATCCAGTAATAAGTTTTAACTACACAAAATATTTTTAAAAGTATGTTAGTACTTTCCTACTGTCAAAAGAACAATGGATTTTCCAATGGAACTAAGTAGGCACACACTTTTGTTTTTACTTCTCATCTTAATATTGCTTCCTTTGTCCTTCTGCTAAAACAAAATTACCTTAGAGAAATAAATGTTACATTTTGAATTATTAACACCACAGAGCAGTACAGATTCTCTTCAGAGTTCACATAAATCCAACATGAGGGTAAAAACTTTGTGAGAGAATATCCCACCATGAAAATAGCTATCTGTACAAATGTTCTTTCAACGGTGCCCAAAATTTCAACAGAATGACTAAACTAGGAGATGAAAGGCCTGAAAAAGTCAAAAGTAACACATTAAATAGATTAGTTTTCAACAGTGATTAGATGAAATTAAAATTAATAATAAACTTACAGTATTATATTAAATTTTTTTTTTTTTTCCTAATTTGAAATCTGTAGCACGATACTGTTTTTGTGGTCTGAAGCAACTCAAAGCTTTTCTAAGGCCTATAATTACAAGTCTCCATGGTACAGTTTCATTAAAAACTTTCATTAAACAACAGCTGCCCTTGTATATGGTCTTCTAATCAATTTGGTCAAACAGAATGACTTCTAATCAGCTGTTGATAAAAATAGAAGATGAAATTTTAATTCTAATAGATTAACCACAAACTCAAGACAGTCTTCAAAATCCATCTAGCTCTATTCTCCAGTGGATTTAATGACTATTCAGCAACTCATTACTAAATAGAACAAGATGAACATTTTCCAGTTCATTAAAGAAATGTACTATGTATTTTTGCATTGTCCTCATGATTCGTTACAGGGAGTCTTAATTACAAGATAATGGATAATGGTTATTAAATGCAGACTGCAGTAATGAAGCTCTATTCATTTGCGAACCTCAGAGACTGCAAAGAGAGGAAAATAAAATTACTAGCTTCAAAAGATTAACGGATCAAATTATTATTCAATTTTGAAAATCTCATTCTGACTTCATAGAAACAAGAAGAGATTAAAAACTAGTATTAAGACCAAAGTAGTACATTTTAAAAAAATAATATCTTAAGGCTATTACTGCATAATAAGCTTCAGATGTGATTATTAGAAAAACACATAGCTAACAATGGGAAAACATACATTTTTATTTCCCGAACAAATCTCATTTATGATATAGGAAATTACTAGTAGGATCTTAAAAAGAGTCTCGGTGACCATGGAAGATATATGCTACTATGCTACAAAAGAACAGCACAATGGAAGGTATTATTAACATTTTATACCTCACTAATGAAAAATAGGATTTAAAATCAACTGCTGCTCGAGAAAGCTTGTCATTAAGTGGAATTCATGCCAACCCTATAATAAGAGCTTCTGGGCACATTATTCATTAGCACCACGTTTTCTATTGCTCTCTAAGAAATTACTGATTAAAGTTAGCAAGGGAGTTTTGTATTGTAATTCTAACACTAATTGTCACAATTGTCAGCATAGGACACTTCTTTTTAACAGAGTGTACAAAAATATGAACCCCAAATTAAAACAGTGTCTTTGATATTGTATTCTTTTGCTCAACATAGGTTTGAAAATAACTTGGGATGAGATATAAAGAACCAGCGTATTGTTAAAGAAGTGGCCGGAAGAAGACGGAGGCAGAAAGCCCCTATGGAGGTATCAATATGGTACTAATACTCAATCTGGATTATTCCACAGTCATTCCACAAAGACATGCTTACATGACCCAGGGATAATAGCCACCCATGTGAGAAAGTGGGAAAATAGATTTCGAGAGAGAGAGAAGAAAAGCATAAGAAGGAAAGAAAAACAAAAAAATAAAAACACCTGCTCTTTCCATTTCTTTCCTTCAATCTGAATAGTGAGATACTCTTCAGAAATACTTCTCCCTGGAAGAATACTTCTTTCTGGTCCAATCCATCACATTACTAAGGCAGAAAGGCGTGCTCAAGTATAATGGCAATCAGAAAGCAATCACAGGCTGGCTGGTTGCTCAGTTGGTTAGAGCGCAGCCTTATACACCAAGGTCATGAGTTCAGATCCCAGTACATGCCAGCCACCAAAAAAAGAAAAAAAGAAAGAAAGCAATTACAATGTCAGGGTTAGAAAATATCTCCAGTCCCCCAAGGGTAAGATTAGCTCTTGATAACCACATTCCTTGCAGATGCCTTCCTCTCAACAAAAATAAAGATGTGGTCGTTTAACATAATGCAAAACAGGATGACTGAAATGGAATACAAGGTGGAAACTCTGTCTATATAATCCTTGGTAACTGATAATAAAGTCCTTGGGAGAACATTCTAAACAGTTATGCTATCCATTCAAAGATATGTGGTTAGAATCACTTTACACAAATAGGAGTCCTTGAGTTATTCCTAATATGCCAGAAGTTCCCTTTCACTTTTAAAGCATTATTTAAAATTAATTTCAGAACTGTAGTTATACTGGAAATGAGATACCAATCAATGAAGATAACTTCTATTTTAGAGTGGGTTTCAACTGTTTAATCTTTCAAATGACTGTACTTTTTTTTTTTTTTTATAAATTTGGAGAAAGAAAAGGATTATTTAATTCAAAAGTTTATAAGGCCATTTGGTCAGCATTCTGGACCAAAAGTCAAATTGGGAAACAACGAAAAGTCTCCTAAACCTAGCTCTGTACCTGCCTTCTCCAATTTCTAATATTGTATCGGTTTTCCTGAGGACTGTTTGCAAATAGCTACACAGAGTTAACAGTTCAAATATGGGTTCCCCAAAATGATGGTTCATTTCTTAGTTCTCACCTCTCCCCTCCCCCTGCCTTCTTCTGAGTAAGAGTGTCCAGGAAAGAGAGTTACAGGTAAGGGGACCCTACAAGATCTGTAACTAAAACCAAAGGCTCTGTCTGGAATAAGATGGTGGTGATGGCTGCACAATTTTGCGAGGATGCTAAAAACCCCTGAAGTGTACCCTTTAAAGGGTGAACTTTATTGTATGAGTTATATCTCAATTTTAAAAGGAAAAAGAAAAGGGTGCGAGTTCATGAGGGAGAAGGGAGGAGAAAAAGAAAAACTACCTAGAAAAACTAACTCTGGGGCCGGCCCGGTGGCGCACTGGATAAGTGCACCGCTTGGGAAGCGCGGCGGCGCTCCCGCCGAGGATTCGGATCCCACATACAGAACGGTTCCCGCTCACTGGCTGAGCGAGGCGCAGGAGCAACACCGAGGGTTGCACTCCCGTTGCTGGTCCCCAGTCCGGTACGGGGGCAACACTGAGGGTTGCGATCCATTGCCGGACACGGAAAAAGACAAAAAAAAAAAAAAAGAAAAAAGAAAAACTAACTCCACATGAAATTATCAAATAGCTGACAACGGGCAAGTGTGTATAATCATCTGTACCTTTACTCTTTTCCTGAACTCATCTTTTAAGTCTGCTCCTAGTCTTCTCTGTAAATAGTTCCCCATTAGCTCCCAAATACAACATCCATAATCCAGGCCGCCCCTTCAAAATGTAGCCAGTCACTGGTCTAAATAGATAAGGATCTACTGATGATGCTTACTCAGCAGGTGAGGTTGACCAAACGAACAGCGTTCACATCCAAGCATTAAACTACCTAAAGCATTTCTTTTGAAGAACAGTATTTCAACACATTACTAGGGGTCTTCAGAAAGTTCATGGAAAGACTTGTATTATCTCTTGATTCTATTTTTCCATGAATTTTTTGAAGTATCTTCCTGTAATTATAGTTCCTTAAAGAGATTTTTAAAGAGTGGTACCAACACTGGGAACTTCTCGCTGGCCAAAGAGAGAGGGTTTGGTTAAAAGGCCTTTTAGGACCACCGCAACGATGCCCACCAGGAGTTACTCACTCTACTCTGAACGCTCTAGGGCTGCAGTGTCCCGTACGGTAGTCAGTCACCATCGGTGGCTACTGAGCACTTGAAATGGCGTTAGTCCAAACTGAGATGTGCTGAGTGTAAAATACACACAGGGTTTTGAAGACTTAGTCCAAAAAATAGTATGTAAAACACCTCAGGAATTTTTATACTGATTAGACACTGAAATGATATACTGAGGATTTATTAGGTTAAATAAAATACATTACTATAATTACTGTTACACCTGGTTCTTTTTACTTGATTAATGCCGTTACTAAAAAGTTTTAATTACATATCTCTATTAAACAGTACTGGCCTAGGGTTTCAATGAGACACCAAAACATGTAATCACTCTGTGCAGGCTAACAATTTGATACCCTTTTAGACCAATATCCTTTAAATGCTGGATTAAAATTTATTGAGAAAAAAGACTTAATTCTGCATAGAGGTAGAGTAGAATAGAAAAGGAAGATTCCTAGGTGTCACCACTTGGCTATTCTCTTTTGTCTAAACAATTTGACTCTGTTCCCAAATTTGAACACTTCACTGAGCAAAAAAGCTCTGTAATTAACTCAACCCACCTTCCATTGAAAGC